ACATGGTGTGAATTGGCGCTATAGAAATACATAAACATGTCCACCTGCATGTCCCACTGCAGGTGGACATCAGAGAGTCCGCAGCCAAGGGTCACAAATCAGGACTTAAACTGAAGGAGGGCCCCTGGTCCCAAAGAGGCCCCTAGAACTATGGGGTCCCAATGAGGCCCTTAGAACTATGGGGTCCCAATGAGGCCCCTGGAGCTATCCCACTGAGAGCATCACTCATCAATCTCCAGGAGGCTGACTTCCTGTTGGACTCCTGCTGCTCTAATCCGACAGAAATCTCAGACTGTGATGAAAAACGGGATTTTCCGGACCTACAGGTTTTCAGGGAACTTCAGAGAGGAGCTGACATGACCGGACGGTGTGTTCCTGCTGGGCTCCGGTCCCTTCCAGCCGCTCAGCTGCCCGCTGTCAGCCGGTGCTGCCGCGAACACCCAGCCACCGCTTTGCAGAAAGCTCCGTGGAGTGGCTTTCCACAATAAACCACAAACAGACGCTGTTATCGCCGCACCGACAGCTAGCGCTAATGTTAGCCCAAAGCTAACGGAAGCTAGCCCCGTGGCTGAACTTTCCTTCCAAATGTTGAACAAGTGAAAACAACCCTTAAAGAGCCGAACCTCCGGTCCGGAAGCCTTCATCGGCTCCATGTTCCCCTGGGCCCTAACATCACATCACCGAACATTCCAGAAAAACGCTCCCCGAACCTCACCTGAACGCTTCCTCTCCGCAGTAACTGCTCCAAGGTAGACACCAAGCGCTAGTTAGCTCCAAGCTAACGCGAACCACTTCCGGGTAACACCTTTCACATTAATGGTCGGTCCGAAAGCGGAAGTAGACATGCGATAGATAGATAGATAGATAGATAGATAGATAGATAGATAGATAGATAGATAGATAGATAGATAGATAGATAGATAGATAGATAGATAGAGTGCAGGAAACTACTCAGATTAAAGTACTACAGTGCAGTAAACCACTCAGATTAAAGTACTACAATGCAGGAAACTACTCAGCATAAAGTACTACAGTACAAGAAACTACTCTGCTTAAAGTACTACAGTGCAAGAAACTACTCGGTTTGAAGTAAAACAGTACAGGAAAATACTCCATAACAGTATTTATTTAGTGGTTTAGTTAAATGTGGCAGCCATAATGAAGCTGGTTCCGGTCCATCTCTGCTCCCTGACAGGATCCCAGTTCTGACCCATAAATGAACTGGTCTGGTTCTGGAGGTTCTTCTGGGGAACGTGTAGGACAGGCATCCCCAAACTCGGTCCTCGAGGGCCGCTGTTCTGCAGTTTTTAGAGGTTTCCCTGCTTTAAAACAGCTGATTACAATGATTGCAGTAGAGCAAAAGCCTGTTAATCAGCTTTCAATTAAAATCAGCTGTGCTGGAGCAAGGAAACCTCTAAAACCTGCAGGACAGCGGCCCTCGAGGACCGAGTTTGGGGATGCCTGGTGTAGGACATTCCATCAGAAAGAGCAGCAACGTAGAGTGGGAGGGCTTTGCTCAGCCAGCCAATCAGCGCACGCACCTACGCTGAGAGCGGGCCGTGATTGGCTGAAAGTAGTCGCTGTGTGCAATCTCGGCCGCTGATTGGTCAGGACGGGCCAGAGCTCGGTCTGTTGTCTGCTCTGTGGGTGGAAGTCATTTTTTTCATCCAGACTCCAGGCTGGGAGGGAAGAGCGGAGGAATAATGGAGGATCTGGGTCTTTCTGAGGACAAGGAGCAGCTTCTGTAGCGGAGAGCAGCGGCTCCTTCAGGTAGGTCCCTGGTCCTGGCTGCAGCACCGGGCATCATCTCAGCTTTTCTCTCTGTGTTCGGCGGTGTTGGGGATGGTTCTAGTCCCCTGTGTGGACCCAGACCTGAGGCTGGAGGACTGGAGCTCAGACCGCCTGAGCTTCCAGGCTTCCTCTCCATGTCTACTGGCATCCTATAACATCTGACCCAGAGCTGCTGGGCTTAGTGTAGATATATGAAACTAGACAGCGCAGCAACTGTCTGTGCTCAGTGGAGAGCTGAGGTTTAGGAGCTGTTCCCTGGACCATCTGGACCATTGTTGGTCGGCCCATCAGAACCCTGACCTGCTCTGTTCAAACACAACTTTAGCTTCTGCAGCTTTGAGCAGCAGGCTGGATCCCAGTGCCTAGTTTATGGGGGGGGGGGGGGGGGGGTTCTCCAGCTGCTGCCCAGATGTTCCCCAGCTGCTGCCCAGATGTTCCCCAGCTGATGTCCAGCTCCTCCTGCAGCAGAAGCAAAGGTCACGTCAACAGGAAGTGATGTCAGACTTCCTCCCAGCCTGTCACTCAGCAGCTGCTTCTGGCTGCCATGGAAACCCCTGGTGGTTCTGAGAGCGGATCAGTCCAATAACAGCATGATTGGTCTGCAGACTGGCTGGAATCTGGCCCGGTCAGGTAACCAGCTGTGGTTCTGTCCAGGAGCCCGTTTCCATGGCGTCTAACCTTCCTGCAGCCTCTCTGGATCTGCAGCTTCTCCTTCCATCTCTGTTGCTCACGCTACATTTGGCTTCCTGTTTGTTTCAGACTGGCTTCACACTGATTCTGTCGCTTCCTGATCCAGTGCTTGGTCTCGCTTTTTTAGACCTGTCTGTTTTACTGTATCACGCCTAACTGAGATGGCAGGAGGGAAATGTTGGTTAGTTGAAGATGTGGAGATAAACATTTCAAAACATTCTGAGTTTTGGAATTGAATAATGTACTGGTTTTTGGCCCCTGGGCTCCTGGTTTAAATTCAATTGAATTAATTTCTATAGCGCCAATTCACAACACATGTCATCTCAAGGCCGAGACAATTCAACCAGTCAGATTGATTCAAAGTTTTCTAAGGAAAACCAGCTGATTGCATCGACTCATTGACTCTTCAGCAATCCCTCACACTAAGCATGCTTGTAGCGACA